ATACACATCATAACTATATAGTATGTATATATAGAAATAGAACTTATCCTTCAAGGCTTCAGATACAGAAAAACACCGATTTGAGCATCAGAAGGAAGGTATCACTAATCAGAAAGCTTAGGTCAGAGAATTTTCTCTGTCACAAGCCAGAGAAGTTAACTCAGTAGTTGTATTCCCTTCTCTATATAAATTTCAGTATACACCAATTCATAAAATATAAATGCTTACATTCAATTGGGCTTATAATTAATCCAAAAAATAGACTTCCTTGAAGATTCTCAAATAAGACGTGAACTAAAATACTAGCTAGTTAGTACTTCACAGATAGGTACCTCAATATACTTTTCTACAGAAGATTATTAGCATGTTAATAATCTTTAGTCTCTAAAATATATTTTAAAAAGTATCAACCTTTTCCACTATGATGAGGTCTCCAACTTGTATGTCTGAACTCTTAACTTGCACTTTACCTTAAAAAAAAGAAGAAATGTAATCAACTTAGGCAGACATTAATAAAAGAGTCACAAGAATATAAATCCCATAATGCAAGTTATACTTAAAGATGCTATTGTTTGGTGAAAAAGTTACAATTTATACAAAACGAATCTCTGATGAACACATTAATAAATAGATTTCATTTGTTTGAATAAGTAATTCACTGGTTTAAAAAGTCTAGTTTTGTAACCAGTTAGCTATTGTAGAAGTATTAAAGGAAAAAGGTATGGAAGATGCTCAAGTCTGATCTACAGCATCAGTAACAGTTGTAAAATTGGAAAAAAGTGTCTTTCAGATCTCTTGCTAGACAGCACTTTTATTTCTGACAAGCCACGAGTTGTTAGGCTTGCAGTCATGGAGCATCGTCACGAGTTCTTAGTCACAGTCCAGTTACCAACAGGTAGCTTTGCTTGGCCACTGACGTTACTGATAAAATCGGCACTATCTGACACTTGTTGGCAATTAGACTGGAAAAGAGGTAAGTCTCTCTAAAATCAGAATAAATGCAAGAAGATTACGTTTTAGTAAAGTAAAATATCTAAAGCTGAAATAAAAGTTTTTCCTTCTGTAGAGCTGCCCATTCAGTAACTGCTGTGAATAACTCATTCAAAAAGGGACACAGCACACAAGCTAATTTAATTTCTGTATGTTCAGTAGGGTACTAATATTTGTAAGATTAAGTTTTAGCATTCTTAACTGATGGACTGAAAAACTGAGACAGAGAGGTTAAGCTACTGCCCAAAATGAGTTATTGGTGATATCATTAGAATTTAGGAGTTCTAGTCCCACGTCCTTGCTACAAATCTAAGCAAAAAATTGCTTCCCTGTGTTAAAAAAAAAAATCCCCAAAAACCTAACAAAAAAAGCCCTGTGTAGACAAACAAATCATGACATATGGATATCTTCTTCCAAGATATAACAGATGATAAATTCAGAACCCGTTAACCCAGGATATAAACATACATACTTACACAGCCTGACAAGCTGCAACACACACCCAGACAAAATAACTTTTCCCATCAGAAACACTATCACGATTCATCTGACCAGCAGGTATCAGATGACAGGTCTGTTAAAACATGGTAAGGTGCTAGGGCTCTAAATAAAAATCAGACTGAACAAATTAGAACAGAAGACCCACAAAAGCACAGGATGCAGGATGAGCAGCAATCAGTTTGGAGTTAAGCAAAAGTATTATGAACAGTAGATTTGTCAATGCCCATTCTATCATCTCTCAAATTTATACTAAGTATAAACCTCAAACTAAGCTAGGTTCCAAATCCATGAGACCTCCTTATCATAACTCTCAATGAAGAGAGATCAGGTAGTTAACCTCAACAAATTCCATATACTTACTACCTTTGACTAAATACATGTAAGATTCATGTTATGGAGTAGTTATTTACAGTACTTGCTCTTAAAAATTGCATTTAATGAAAAAGTATGTTTTTAATTCAGTCAATAATAAATGTATTCCTATAGCTGATTCTTAATACTTTTTCCATTACACTTCTAAAGTGTGCAGTGTGAGAGGAAAGTAAGAACTTTTGTTTGGCCTGTCTGCAAAGTTATTTCCGAAAGCCAGTCTTTGTTACTGATAACCATCTTTTATACCATTTCAATTTTACAGTTGCCAGAAACACCCTACACACCTCCCCCCACCCCCAAACATAAAACCAAAATATATCTTCAATCTGACTCCTAACTCTACTAATAACACATTTGTGAGGGTGAAAGGAGTAACAGGAGATCAAGCTACAAAAAGCTGTAGCAAGAAACATCAGCAGTTCTCTACAGGCATTAAGATATCTATGGAAATTTAGTGGCATTCTCTCAACTTTTTTTTTTTTTTTTAAATCTGAAGTAACTAATACTAAAGGCAAACCACAAAAAGAACAGTCAGATACCAAGTCAACATATTTAGCCTGCCTAACTGCACCAGCCTGTGAATTCTCTTCATAAATTCTCAGGTTTTGACCAGAAGTGAACAGTGTATACTGGGAAAACATTGCAGTGCTGACTTTGCTTTCTAAGCCTGTTAGCGTTAAGAAAAGGTTAGCATTTCCTATTTTGTCTTCAATTCCTCCGCTAATAATTTTCAGCAGTTTCAGAGTGATAACCAAATCAACCGATTACAGTAAGAACAGCCTCAAAAATCCTAGTACTAGATGCATTCTCAGATCTATGCCACCTATGCAGTCACATATGACCAAAACCAGAGATACTAACTGAATGAGACTACTAACCATTTTATCAACTTAAACCATTTTCCACAGTCATGTTCTAACAGAATCTACAGTTAAGATCAAAAGATGCTAAGCCTCAGAGGACAAGAGAAGGCTGAACACTCATTTGCAACACGATGTAGGGCAGACAAAAGGCAAAGTCTCCTGGTGCCAGGTATACCAACCCACACTACACCTTTGCTGGTACTCCATCTAGCAACCCTGGGAATTTCACATATGAACTGTAAAAGTTCCCTTATCACTCTTCTAGGTGGCTTACTATAGCACCACAGGATACCACCTTTATGGCAACAAGACACTAACATGTCTTATTAGAGCCACCCGCATATACACATAAGGAAGTGGCCTCTGACCCAGAAGCCAATTAATTCTGCAACGCATATGAATGGTGGGGCATGTTCCATTAAAAACTAAACGGTGAAACATGGAAATAGTTCAAAAAGCGGATTAAAATTTTGAAAAGTCGACAAATAAAACTTCCCTTCAGACTAGCAAGAGTGAGAATCATTAGACACCATTTCAGAGAACATTAAAATAAAGCAATACTACATCTTGGCAAAGATGCATTTAGAGAAAAAGACAACACAATGTTATTCACTGCATAAATTATTTCTGCAAACTATTTTTTCTCTAAAAACATCTCCGTAGCAAAACACTCTTCACCATCTGTGTAATTACCAATAAAAAGTCCAAAGCTGTCAGAAGTGGTTGCGCATCCAGACTTTATAGTCCACCAAGGCGCAAGGCTTTCGCCAAAAGCAACGTATGGAATTATGCAGAACTGGAACACTGAAACGCGTCTGTAGTAATTCATTATACTCACAAAATAAAGCCCTTTGAAATGAATTGCAATGAATTGAAAAACTAATAAATCTCATACGTGCTAACAAGTATTTCACATAAAAAATTAAGAAATGAAGTAAACAAGATGTAGGTATCTACTGTACCAGAAACAACTTTATTTCTGTTTATTAAGAAGTGTCTGTACTACCTGAGTGCAAGCCACTCCTGAAAGAACAGGAACTACTGAGAGTAGCATTTTCAAATTATTTTTAATTTGCTACTACATCTTACCCACGGTACCGTGAGTACCGTTTTTGAAGTACTGCTTCTGCAGCTGATAACAGAACTTGCCTCTGAATCCCTAGATAAAAAAAACTCTTGAATGAAAGGAGTCAGAGACTATGTGAAAGTTTTACTTGGCATCTATTAGCCTGAGTAGTCAGCATAATTAGAGTATACATAACATAATGGAGAGCTGGGGGTCGGGTAGCACAGTTGGGGAAAGCTTAAAGCTACAGCAAATCCAAAGTGAGGATGCTGACCTTGGTCATTAGGTCCTTTCAAATTCCAACTTACACAGTGAACCCAGGTTAGTCTTTAATCACCAAGATAGAATTCTAAAGAGAAGCTTCCTAGATCCTCTCCTCTGTGTGCTATCTCCTCGGGTGAAACAGAAAGCCTTACTTCTTTCTTATTCAGTCTCATTGATGATGCAAAAATGTGCAAGAAAACAGTCCCTTTGACATTTCCTCTCTTGTAGCCTCTTTTTGAAATTCTTTCTTCTATTAACATTTCAAGTTCTGTTTCTGCTGTTGCTTCCTGCTTTACTAATCAGCTAGATTAAACTGACACAATCCTTTAAAAAATTATCTGTTCCAAATGGTCTAAATACCAGGAATGAAGCTGTCAGTAGGTCTGAAGTATTACAAGCAATAAAGACCCAGTGTTGTACCTCTAGACTCAGAAATAATGCTTTATGCAAAAAGCAAGATGACCTGTTCTTCAAAGAGCTGAAATTCTAATGTTATAAGAGGTTTTCAAGACAGATTTCAAAGAACTGCAAAAGAATAATATTACAACAATCAAGACAGTCTAACAAACATCTTACTTTAAAGTTGCAGGTAACACAGGTATAAATAATTGAAAATTGCCTGTCTCTACAGAGGCCATTTTGCAGATTAAAAAAGGTCACTTGAGATATTAACTCATAAGGTGGCATTTTAGGAATGCAGCAGCTCCCACTGCATAAACAGAAGTAAAAAAAAAAAATTCAAACCACTGTAGCTCTCTAAAACAGACTGCTCAATTCTCCGATTTTAAAGGAAACGTACTAACTTTAACACTTTGTTCTCCTCTTACATACAGCATTTACTGGTATTTTCTCAATTTCACACAGTTTTGGCATATATTTTCAACTTCAGCAGATTCTTAAACACCATTTGAGGACACAGCAGAGACACAGGTCTCACATTTGAAGCCTGGATGGAAATACTTCATTAATCTCATCTCTCCTAATATTCAATTTTTCTTTTGCTTTGCAAAGTGAGTTTGGCAACAGTTCTAAAAACCATGTCACACATCCAGTGTTGAAGTGACAGATGCATGCCTCTCCTGCAACTCTCAGCTGTGACTACGGTAGCTAGTTAGCTTCTTGATCTTTTTTTCTTCAACACCTCACTAACGCTGCATGAGCAAACTTCACTTGGTAAGGGTGAGGGCAGGACTGCCAACTTCGAGAAAAAAAAGAAAGTGTTAAAATTGCTTTATAATTTTATTATCCAATTTGCTCTTAGCAGCTTAATGAAAGAAATAATATTCTGTTTATGAACTTGAGGTGATTCTTCTGCAGAACAGCAGTGTTTTTTCACAGGCACTTCACTGGTCATACCTAAGTGTACAAGACAAGAAGTTGTGCCAAAAGTGTAACGATTCCTTAGGAAGAGTCCTCCCAAAACTGCATGCACAGGTCTAAAATTTTTTCCACTGCAGTTTTTGCTCTACAAAATGTTACGCAGGTGAACTGGTCTGAAGCAGAAAAAGGTAATTAAATTGCCAGCAAGTCAAGACAGGTGATTCTCCCTCTCTGCTCTCCTAAGCCCTCAGCATCAGAAGGATCTAGACTGGTTGGAGCGAGTCCAGAGGAGGCCACGAAGATGCTCCGAGGGCTGGAGCCCCTCTGCTATGGGGACAGGCTGAGAGAGTTGGGCTTGTTCCGCCTGGAGAAGAGAAGGCTCCGGGGAGAACTTATAGCACCTTCCAGTGCCTGAAGGGGCTACAAGGAAGCTGGGGGGGACTTTTTACAAGGGCCTGTAGTGACAGGACGAGTGACAACGGGGTTAAATTGAAAGCGGGGAGGGTTAGATTGGATATCAGGAAGAAGTTCTCCCTGGAGAGGGTGGTGAGACACTGGCACAGGTTGCCCAGAGAAGCTGTGGAGGCCCCATCCCTGGAAGTGTTCAAGGCCAGGCTGGATGAGGCTTGGAGCAACCTGGTCTAGTGGGAGGTGTCCCTGCCCATGGCAGGTGGGTTGGAAGTGGATGATCTTTAAGGTCCCTTCCAACCCAAACTGTTCTATGTTTCTATGACAGGATCTTCAATAGTAAGACAACTTCACAGGCAGACACTCTTCCTCCCTCCAACTTGCATACTGACTGAAAACTGTGTATTAAAGATTTTCAGACTTTTATATGCAAAAAAGGAAAGTAGATTTTACAACCAATATCTCAAAGTTATTAGGACAGCAGAATGCATCATACACTGAACAATTTAAGAGCTTGAACACTGTAATCTAAGAAAGCATACAAGGGAAAAGATTCACATGAAAGACATGGTACAGGTACACTTCATTGACCTGCTCACCAAAAACTCAACACATTTACTGATTTGCATGTTTCATCAACTTGCCCTAAGGGGTTAAAAAAATTAGAAACCATTCAAACTTCACATGTAGGGTATTCACCTGCTTGACAAGTGCAAAGTTACACGTAACAAATTCACAAAGGGATGACTGAAAACTGAGCTTTGCCACGTTACATGACAAATAGAAGACCGTATAACACTAGATATCTCACGGAACAGAATTAGTCTATGGACATTAAGCTGGCCATAGCTGCCTAAGTACAAGTAAGTAATACTTAAAACAGATGTCCCATTCTCCCTTGATTTCCTGCTCAGAACAGCTCATTAATATAAAAAAAAAAATGCTAAGACCTACTGATTAAAACAAATATTTACTCAAGGTCTTGAATTGCTAAAAATAATTTCTAAGTCTTCAAGAGTCACTAACGTGAATCCATCATTTTTAAAAAGCTGGTACCGAGTATACTAGGAACATGCAGGTCATAAGATAACATTCACATGTTTTACCTGTTTAGGAATTCCTGAGGCTAAGGATGACCCCACAGAAAGTCAATTCTGCTAGGTAGTCAAATTTCTTGATTTGAATCTATTGCAAAACTGTATAAAAATAGTTGAACTTACAAATCTGCCTACCCACACTATCCTTGTACAAGTAATTAATCACAGTTCAAATCCCAGTAACTTCTCTTCCTACAAATACATTTGTTTCCCTATGATAAACAAACAATTTTGCAAAACCACTAACTAGAAGTGATTAAATTATCATTATCTTCCATAAATGGTACAATTAAGCCAAGGGTAACACTGAACCTTGCTAACTTTAAGTTTTCCTACTGTCCAGTTTGAGGCAAAGGCAACCTGCTTAACCTCTCTATGTCAGTTTCTCTATCTCAGAGATGGAAAAAGTAGTCTTTTCTTTGAAATAGGTAAAACTTATACAAGTCAAAAAATCATTAGGAAAAAATCATTAGGAAAAATACGCAAACATGGTAGAATACTATAAAGTGCAGTTCCACTCTGAAAAGTGACTCTTAACAGTGGCATTGATTTTCAGGCTTTTAATCAAATCAGTATAAAGTTTGATCATTCACACGTAATAGCATTCCTTCTCCAAACCATTAGCCTGTAGGTTAGCACAGCAGCCTAAGTACTCTTCCGCTTGGAAGAGTACTGACAATATTAAAAATCAGGTAGATTATATTTAAAGTTAAGAATATTATGGTCAAAAAAAAAAAAAAAACCCACAACCACCACACCACACCCCAAAACAGAACAAAGACTAAGTACGAATTAGTCATTGCACTCACACCAAAACCTGAAAATCAAAATAGACATTGCGGGTAAAAGTTGACATCCTTTTTAAAACAAGGGCATTTTTAAAACTTCTTCTTAAGTTCCTGCTCCCTGTGTATCAGCCTCTGATCCAACTGCTGGGCTTCACCTACGTACTATTATATACTATTTTAAAATGTCTCTTCCATATCTAGAAAAACAGCTGTGTCAAGATGACCAAGTCCAATTTTAATTTAACAACTTCCTTAATCTTAGGAGAAGCTACAAAATGAAAAATTTCTGAAATGCACATAACCTCACAATATATTTCATGAACTGGGAAAGAGGAAATCAGGATTCCAATACTTCCTTTTAAATGCTTAGCAATTTACCAGAAACTCCAATATTAACTCTAAACAAGTTAAGTGAAAAAAGAAGCCCAAGAGGCACCAAACTTAGCTCTTAAGCAGCAAATGTCAGTGTTGGCATTTACATCACACTGGTAACCATGAACTATATACGTGCTTCCACAACCAAGAATTTTAGATTACTAACACTACTGCTGAGTAAGTTGGACTGTACTGTCTATTTCAAACGTGAATGTTCAGTGGCCTACCATAGCAGATCTAAAAGAAAATGAGTAAGCCAACTAACAGATCAAATTACAACTTTGAAATAAAAGCTCTTAAGAGTTTATTTCTTTACAGCTTCTATTAAAGACTGTAAAGAACTGGAGGCTAGCAATGCAAGCACTTGCATTAACCAAATGACAGCTATTCCACTTGCAAATTTCCACAGTGGTATGTCTAAATGTTGATAAAGCTATTTCAGGCTGACAGGGAAGGGAAGGAGGATAGGTAAATAAACCATACAGTTGCTCCCTTCTGTATGCAGACTCCAGAAAACAATGCAAGTCTCTATACTAGGAGGAAGCAGTATAAATTCTTCTCAGCTGCTATGTCATCACTAATGGACTGTTATCCATTTACTAACCTTCCAATTACTTTTAAAAAACGGGCTGAGATTTCAGACAGAATGTATTTGTGTTACCTTACAAGCTTTTCATCCACTTTTTCTAGAGAGAATATTAGTTAGACCTACTTCCAAGAGTTTAGTTTCTAATTAAGACTCCCAGGTCTGGTGAGGTTACTCTTCCCACTCTGAAGATATTCATCAAGATACAGTAAAAAGTGCAGTGAAATATATGTTGGGAATGAGCGAACAGAATTTACACTTGGCTCAGTGTAGGCCATATACTCTAACTGTTTGAGACACCACCCCACATTCTTTAACAACTACCCACCTTCTAGTACTTTTATGCCAAGGAAAATCCTTAACAGAGACTTCCCAGGAGATGTTAGCAAAATATCTTTTGAGAGCAGTAGCAAGGTTGTGTTTTATAAGCTTATTCATTACCGTTTGGCTTGATAATAGGTTATTCTTTTTTTTTTGGCAGCTTTCTATGTGGCACTGTTCTGAATCTAAACAGTAAAATGTGCTAGCTAAGCAACATAAAAGTGGAGAGGAGTGCAGAGTCTTTTTCTTATGCCCACATTTAAAATTTACAATATCCTAACAAATTTAATTGTCACTTCACAGCTGAAGTGCTTCATTTCCTTAAAGGTTTTCATGAAAAACTTCCAAAGGTTTTGAGTCTTAAAAAAAAAGAGAGTCATCGCTGATTTCTCCTTTTATTACTTTCTGGAAAAAAAGCTAGCTGTTCATACTCCATCATCATCCAGATTTCAAATTAGATAGAAAAATTGAAATCAGTATTTTTGACACTGAAGCTGACTCACAATACATCCTCCTTTTCTTAAGCACGAATATACCCACAACGTTTGAAAGGCTCTAGTGAATTTTAATTAGATCGTATTTCTTGGTTACTGATCCCTTACTTCCAACATACACTTGATACAAAGCTGACACTGCTGCTGAGTTACTGTTTGGTATCAATTTCAGAGGAGAACTGCACTTTGAAGCAGTAGTGCTAACCAGCAGAATGCTTCAAAAATATACACTATTATATATACACACCTTTCCTTTACAAGCAACAAAAGATCAAATTTCAACAGTCCTATTTCTCAGAGAGAAACCAAGACCTTTTAGTTTCATTCTGAACAGTGCAGCTTGAGACTATTAGCAATTTCTTTGAACTGAAAGTTTGTAAGTGTATACGTAAGAAAGATTAAATATTTTCAGGATTTATACAAATGGTTTTGCCAACCTCGTACTGTCAGCTTGCTATATAATTGTGAGTTCATCTCCTTGTCTCTCTTGTAACGTCGAAATTCATCAACAGCTTCCCGTACCACTGTGACCGTCAAAACAAATCCCTGTTAAAGACATAATCATGCAATTCAGAATTCTCAAAGTGCTGGAATAGAAATACACAAGTGGAAACACTATGCAGAGTAAGAACATGTGCTTAGAATAATGACTTATTTCCTCATCTGTATTTCAGTGTTTTCTTCAACCTGTTGCAGTATCAGTTTGGTTTAGTTTAAAACCAAGGAAAATCATTCTAATTATATTTGTCCGAGGTACAACTGTATTTCCAAATACACTTAATTTAGATATAACTTGAAATTTTAAAAATTTAAATGCTTTGGATGAGGTAAAGACAGCCCTTACAGTTCAATAAGCATATTATCTTCTCCTCCACAAATTTCAGGACTCTACCAAAAACATTTAGGAAGATTCCAATTCCAATTTTGCATTCACTGCCCTTCTTCTAGGAGACAGAGGTACACAGATGGCTAGTTTAATTAATTTTGACATCTTGAATGCAGTTATTTACTAATGTCACTTATATTGACAAATAAAAGGGGGTTTGTTCTCAAAAACTAAGTCCCTAAAAGCTTTGGTTCTGTTCTACTTTCAGAGGATAGTGCCACTGCAGCTTCTGGTAGAAGCACGGAGTGCGCTACATGCAACTCTGATGACTCTGGCCACAAAAAACAGTAAGCTAAACAGAATACAGAAGAATTCAGTCATAAGCACATAGGAGTTTCCTCTTTCAATTTCTAAGCCTCCTCAGATACGGCCTTCTGAGTTCTTAAGCTAAAGTGCTCAGTCTTTCTTCATCAGTGAAAGGGAAATAAAATTTTCATTAGTAAAGGGATTTTACCATTACTATAACAAAAATGGCTAAAAAATTAAAATATTCACAAGAGGTAAGATTCTAGGTTATCTACCTAGCTTCAGAAAACTACCAGTACTTTCCTTGTCTGTATAAGGAAATTTATACCATTAAGACTTTTTTTCTTGCAGAAGTCCAACAGCTTGTCAACCTTCCCCTAACCTCTCCACAAAAAGAAAGGAGTGAAGGAGTTTGCCTAAAGGACCCTTGACTAAAATTCTCTTCTTTTAACAGAGAGGGCTGTTTCACAGTTGCAGCCCAGAATTCCAAGGCTTACACTATTGCAACCTTATAGTTAAACACTTCTTGTTTATTCAGGTTTACATTAGCTACAACAATTATTTTAGAACTACACAGAACAAAGAAGAGCCTTTGCAAAATGCATTCCTCTTCCCTCCTAGGGCATAACTGACTGAGTAATAGGGTTTTCCCCCTTTCTGACAGCAGAATTTTCATGAGCTTTGGCAGTACCAATATTTTAGCAGCATAAAAAAGGCACCCCAAAACACCTTTAAATATATTTGCCATTTGTATGTATTCCATTAACCAGACAGTAATCAAAGCACAGAATGCAAGGTGTCAGTTGCAAGAATTTCCCCAAGCAGTCACTGTACCTTGCGAAGCAGCTCAGTACAGCTGCCCCTGACTGTAAGGAACAATTTAACACAGATGTTTCCCTTTCTCCTCATTTGCTTAAAGGAGCTTAATAAACTTCCAAAGGGCTGCAGAAATTGTGAAACCAATCATTAAAAAAAAAAAAAAAGTCATTTTCCCTTAAGTGCAAGCAGTTAAATATCTTTAGCATACTGCTTTCAAACTTGCATGGTCTACATCCTTTGAACTATGGAATGGAAATGAGAAGTCTGCTCCCTACTGTGTGAATGACAACAAACCAGTAACATACAATCTTGTTCGAAGAACTCCAGCACTTGATCTAAGTATCCTTTACAGGGACATGGATGATGGCATTGAGTGCACCCTCAGCAAGTTTGCTGATGACACCAAGCTGTGTGGTGCAGTCGACACGCTGGAGGGAAGGGATGCCATCCAGAGGGACCTGGACAGGCTGGAGAGGTGGGCCACTGCCAACCTCATGGAGTTCAACAAGGCCAAGTGCAAGGTCCTGCACCTGGGTTGGGGCAATCCCAAGCACAAGTACATGCTCAGTGGACAGTGGACAGAGAGCAGCCCTGAGGAGAAGGACTTGGGGGTACCGGTGGATGAAAAGCTGGACATGAGCCGGC